TGTTGCGTAATCGAGCTGTTGTGGTATTTGCGAGTTTTCAAGAAAATCTCTCTTTTGTTACAGAGAAGAATTAATAACAAAGTCATCTCAAAGAAATGAAATAATAGAATAATACCGCATGGAAATGATATCGCTTATATTACATTTTCTTCTTTGACGCGGGGAATATCTGAGTGGAAAATACTATATCTTCAAATAAATATTGCTGAATAAAGAATTAATTAATATGCACAGTTTTCATCTGCTCTCTTTTACAATTAATTTGCGCCCGAACGCAAGAAACGTGTATATTGGCGTAACACATATATACGTATATAATATACATATATAAACATAACAGTGCCGCGGCCATTTGTTTTAATGAAAAATACGGTCGCGTTCGTTGAAGTAGAGCGCGTGCATTACGTAGAAACCGATATCTACGCGAAATGACCGCTTTGTAATTATCGGTTAAACGTTCGCCAAATTAAATAGCAAGCCGAACGCATTATAACGCAACGCCGACGTAGCGATTAATAACGGAGAATTGTAAGTAATGGTGGCACAGAGAGCACCCCCATTTCCCGAGCTGTACGGTTGATAAAGTTTCACCGATGTTCTCTATTGGCGTTAGCGGCCGGAAGAGAACACGGAGCTCTTCCCAAGATTAAAAATCTCACACTAAATTGTGGAAGTCGTGGTATATACTTTACATCGCTTTACACGAAATAGAGGAGGATATGGAGGACGTTTACGTCGGAGAGAAAACAACGTCTCTCCGGCTGTCGCTACACTGACGCGCGTTCTTCCATTCGGTTATATTCAATTGGATCGGAACGGCGTTGTGTCGTTCGAAGCGGGCACGGACGTTCGAGTGTGACCCGAGGGTTCCGACGATCCCGGATCAGAATGTACAAATAGGTACGAAAGAGACAGAAGGTGAAGTGGCTTTTCCGTTTAGAGAAACTGGATTTGCGCGGAAAAAGAAATGCCATTCGATTCACACGTGACAGTAGAATAAATTCGTGTGTATATGTGTGTGCGCGACCGAATATACTGAAAATAATTAATTCATGAGCGTCACGTAGAGTTCTTCTCGAGAGATTTATAGCCGGGGGATGAAAGTCGAACAGCATAATAATATAGGACACAAGAGAGTATATTATTTATAAAAGGCTTGCCCCCCCCCCCCGCGCACGTCAGAAGGGTACACGGAAAAAACGCAACGATGGCGAAATGTATACATATATATAGAAATAAATAAAGCATTTAACATTTTTTTTTTTTTTTTTAATAATGTTAATCCGAAACCGTGCGTCTCTCCCGTGTCTCTCACCCACGCTTATTCCGTGTAAACATTTTTAAAACCGCGGCGATAGCGCGCGGAATGCAAAATCAGTAGTAAAGTAGATGCGCGTTCGCGCGATGTTTCGCGTAGGAAGCACGAATTATCCTGTCAAGAAATAGAAATGAAATCGGGATACGCGGAGGATTCAATTTACGGCCGGAACGCCTCACTTTGTGCAATCCACCAGATCCGGCAGATGATCGAGGCGGATGGAAAAAGACCTCGGAGTTCCTCCCGCTAATTAAGTTACGAGATGCGCTTCTAACCAGCCCCGGGGGGAGGGAGAGAGGGAGCGGGGAACGCTCTCTCTCTCTCTCTCTTTCTCTCTTACTCCGTACGAAACCGGAAACGAGCTGCCGAGTATTATTTCCGCGAGGCAAAATGTAGGGCGTAGCTCTGATAATTAACGCGCGAGGTAACGGCGGCGCGCAACCACTACCGTCGAAATAAACATCCATCAACGGGGCGAGTGTTAACCTCTTGGAGGAATAACGATGACGTAACACGGTGTGTGCAACTCGCCGACGGCGGCACATGATAATGACGCGATATTCAGTTTTGATATTTTCAACGGTAATTTTCGAAAAGCGCTCGACGACAGGCACCCCTCATCGCGAGAAGAAAATTAATGAGCGACCCGGCCGAGGGTGAATATCCGTCTTTATCTGCGTCTGTAACATCAGCGCGTCACGAAATGCCTCTGTAATTTCATCGTCGCTCAACGACAGCGTTTGCGTCTGTGCAAACGTCGACTAACCGTAGTGGTAGTCTCGCGTCAAATTCGTGCGTCACGTGCGACGGAGATCGCGGCAAAATTTTCGGAAAAATTTTCCCAGTTTCGCGCATTTGACCTCGTTCCCTCGACTGAAAACCGACTGTCTCTGCAAACGCGATAAGCCGGCGCGTTTGAATTATTCCACGTCTTACGTATGCAGGACGGGCGGAGTGATTTAAGATCGATAATCGATTCGGCTAATAGCGTATCCTAGCTGCGCACCGCAGCTAGATACATATATATATATAGCAAGGGCGCGATGAAAACTTTACTTACTCTCTCTATATCGCTCTTTTAACAGCGACAAAAGCCAAGGAGATAACGATTAATTGTTACAAGCGCTCGTACACCCCCCACGATAGCGGATAATTTTCTTTACGACGGGGAGAAAATGTAAAACACGAGATAAAACTTCTTGTAAGATAGAATAAAATTTGCAAAGCGCGGTCTTCGAGTCGTCGTTAAAAAAAAAAAAAAAACAAAATCGATGCAATTAGCTTCCTCGCGGGAATCAAGCTGGTTAAAATGCAAATTAGTCGGCGCGCTTCGCGAATTGCTCGATTTCTCCGTTTTAAAGGGAAGGCCACTTTACAGGGCCGATCGACCGGTTGTAAAAGCGGATGGGTAATTGTGAGCTAGGGTCCTTCCCGGTAGTTGCAACTACGGACCTCTCCGGAATACGGTGTATTCAACAAGTTTCGTATTTCTCCGTTACAACAACGCAACCGTAGTCGTTGTAACCCCGAGAGCACGTTCTACAGCGTTACGTGGATTAGAGAGAGAGAGAGAGAGAGAGATTTATGCCTAGTCAGATTAATACCAAAAGCTGCCCGGAAACGGATAAGCTTTGCACTTCTGTGTCACGGAAGATACTTCAAGCGAGATACATTTGTAGCGCGTTGCATGCGGAAAAACTGGATTTCAAAGCGCGAAAAAGGTTCGGGCAGTTTATTTTCCGCGTTTCCAAAAATTCGCGTCGCGCGTTTCTCGCGCCGCGCGTGTCAAAAATGTTTTTCGACGCTGACGTAAACGGTGACGCGTATATCATTTATTACACGGTATAATGGCATACTCGTATATTTTATGTAAAAGTCGAATGCGCGCATTTTATTACGCTTTTTTTGCAGCTTTATATTACACGAGTTTTTCTATAAAAATGATACACACACGATTCTATAAAAATACACACACACGCACACACACAATGGATATTACATCTATGTATCTCGCACCGTGTCAAGAAGTGCATTACTTTTCATTTCATTGCGCAAATGTTTTTATACACTTTTCAAACACATTTAATTATTTGTGCCAATATAAATGCAAATGTTTGTTTACGATCAAACGCAAGATTGATAGGAATCAATGCAGAAATGTGGACGCAGCGTAAACCTTCAGACTTAACGAGGTCGCGTCAGTTATTGGCTTATCTGTGTGCGACACTGTTATCAATTTATTAATAAATGCACATAGAGAGATCTTGCGGCGCACAGGAAACACTCTGAGGGAATTCGGCAGAGAAAGTCAAATATAATTTAATATATATATATAAACGATCCGACCGTTAATCTATTTAGATGGACGATATATATATATATATATATATATATATATATGTGTCGGCTTTCATATCGCTGCGAGAACCACATTCGTTCGCAAAGATACATGTGCGACACCTTATACATATATATATAGGGTCGAGCAGTTGCGACATATATAATATATATTGACATTAGAAGATACCGAGAGAACTACTTCTCTCTCCACAAAACGTTAAAATATCGAACTCGACGGGAATTGAGAGATCGCGTTGCCGCGGTCCGTCTCTAATCGCGAAACGTTCCGATCATAACGCGACTTTACCGTAACACGGTGTATAAATCGCATAATTTTCCCGAATTTACTCATCGAGAACACATACGCCGAGCAAATATTTGTGGCGCATATCTCGCCGAATTTAATCCGAAAAATATATATCACGACGCGGTTGCGCGCCCTATTTCATTGTTCGCCAAAGTGAGTTGAATGGGAATATTTGCGTAAACCGGGATTTAAGCCGATCGTCCATTTACGATGGTCAGGATTTATTTATTTCGCGTGGCGATTAATATACAAGCTTTGTGTGTATTGAAATATCAAGACTGCAGCGCGAACACGGCGGAACTAACACGGCGTTATAGTGTGTGAAAAAGAATAAATCAATTGCTACAAAGATACTACTTGTAGTTTGCGTTGGCGATAATTACATGAAAAATGTTGCTCATATATCTCGGATCGATCAGAAATGTCTGTGTAAGCGCGCGATAACGTTTTATCGAGCGGTTTTTATTCTAGCGGCGAAATGGGAATCGTCGATTTTTTTTTTTTTTTTTTAAAGCGCAAAGGTAAGTTAACGACCGACATTCGATCAATTTTCTCTTCCGCTTCGCTAATCAAATTCGTCGTTTCTCATCGGAGCAACACACACGCATATACTCGCCGAGCTGCGAATCGGCACGCTGTCACCGCTGCACAATAATGCGCGGCACCGACGTTGTAAACAACAATTACCAAACTGGCTGCTTTCTCCCCCGTTCGCACGACATTGACATCCAAACAACATTAAATGCAATACGCATCGCGTGGTAATTACACAAAAACCGCCATTGCAGCGCGCAGAGATCGAACACTGAAAATATATAATACCGGGAGTATTCGCTGTGCGTTAAAATCGTCGTAAAAATCATTCGTACGTTAATTCGTCGCTGCGCGATGCGAAATTCCGGTGTCTATTAGTTATAAAATTGGAAACGCGTAATGAACGTGTCCATTACGTTCCTATATATCTTCTTCTCTCTGTTATAAGTTTTGTAATTTCACGGAACGAGGTTCGGAAGAGAGGAGATAAAGGAGACCTACCTGATGATCCACGACACAACTTGTTCCACCGTGCGCTAGAAGCTTATCACAAGACTGTCTTCGTTATAACGACACCCCAAGATATAATGGCGAGACGGCTGGTTTACCGCAGAGACGATGACGACGACGACGACGACGACGACGACGACAATGTGCCCGATTTTCACGAGAATGATTTTCAGCGGATGGTTTTCCTACATGTTGGTTATAATATGTCACAGAGTCGGTGGCGATGGCACTCTCTTGCCGGTGCAGTGAATTGAGTAAATGATTAAACCGACCGGTCGTTACTACTAGAAAGAGGGAAAGGACTCGCGTGCGCTATCGGGTTTATGATGTTTTCATCGTTTTAGTCCAATGTGATTTGGACGAGCGTGTATTAGCAGAGGCGATGAAGGAGAAAGAGAGAGAGAGAGAGAGAGAGAGAGAGAGGGAGGGAGAGAAAGAGAGAGAAATATCTAGCGGAAATCGCATTAGCGGCCATTTATTTCTAACGAATACCCAATTACGTCGATCGATAATGTACAACCGCACTCGCCAGTTGACGTAATTTCAGTTAAGCGTTCACCGCCGTCGTCGCCGCGAAAGAAAAGGGTGGATCCGGGAAATCTTTAATCCTCGCGTCGGCTTTCCAATTAGTCGTCGTCGTCTCTCTCTTTCTCTCTGTCTCTCTCGATATCGGAACGAGAGAAGAAAATAAGAGAAAAAGAGAGAGAGAGAGAGAGAGAGAGAAAGGGCAAAATACGAGTGCGCTCGGACTTTCGAAAATCGCTAGGTCAGCCATTTCTAATGGAGCTCTTCTCCGTATGTGCGTCTCTACATTCATTCACCTTAATAGCTCTGAAAGAGTATTGTGTGTTAGTTATCTCTCGATAAGATGATCATAACTCCCCTTCTATCGGCGCGAGGACAAAGAAGAAGAGAGACGAACTGTGTTAACGACCCTTTCGGAAATTGCCGACGTTGCGCAAAGCACAAGATGGAAAATTAAACTATCGGGACCCGGCGTTTTTTCGAGAAAAGAAACAAACAGAAAACGCGTAACAGAGAGAGAGTTCTCGATTCTCGATCGACTCTTCTAAAAGGAAACCAACTATCGACGCCACTGTGCAACAAGGTCTCGAAATCTGCCCAGTAAGCAATGAAGATAGGCTATGAGAGTACAAAAACGAAAAAATGCTTTCGTGAAGAGAGTTGTCTAAAAATGTGGGACGTCGAAAAATTAATTAAAATACGAGAGGTAACAAAGAAAGATTCTGAATAATATATTCTGAATAAAGATTCTAATAACTAGATGTCAGAATTTTTTGAGAAATTTTTTTCTTGTAAAATGAAACGAGCGAAAAAAAAGAAAACACACAATGTTTATGATTATTGATCTTTACGATTTGAATTTGCAGTATCAAATAATTAAAAAAAAAAAAAAAGAAAAGACATTAGAAATAAAGTTCTTGTATAGTCGACAACTGACTTTACATTTTCTTCTTCGATATGTAAGACGGAATTCATGAAAATCTGAAATAAAAAGAAGAAGAAAGATCATGTTGGCTGATCTTGTATTTTTAACTTTGCGAAACACGTTTCGGTACTTTCTAAGAAATCGAGTGCAGAAATGTTGAGAAATTTTCAGCAGAAACTTGCTGAAAGAATCCTCGCTATCGGGATGTTAAAAGAATATATACGCGCGCGTTAGGTTCACTCGAACAGACCCGTAATTCCTGAGTCCTCATAGCTTTTCGGAATGTTCGCGGTTGGAAAAGCGTCACAAATCAGCGGCGAGTTCTCGGTGAGAAAGAATGCGAATTAAATCTACTTGAAGAATTCTTATATTTTTTTAGAAAATTCAGACAAAGAGAGAGAGAGAGAGAGAGATCATTCGTCTTCGCAGCACTTACTTCACGCTGAGAAATTGTAAAACATTTTTCGATTATGAAAAACAATCATTAATATAATTTTACAACTCGCGCGTAAGATACAACATATTCCAATGTTGCAAAAGTAATTTCCAATGGCATTAAGAAGCGGTGTATAACTTATTAAAAACTTATATTACGTTATAAGCGCGCAAAGTAAAAGATGTCAGAAAGAGCCGAGGTTTGATATAAGCGATCTGTAACTACTTAACCGTGCTTTGTAATATATTATCGCGCGTTAATGATAAAAAGTTAATTATAATTGTTTCAAACTCTTGGTGATAGAAAAGATAAAATTAAGTAAAGTGATAAAAAAAAAAAAAAAAAAAGAACGTTAATGGTATACGAACTTGGGCTTAATTTAATTTCTAAACTACTCAATTTTTCTCTCTAACTTTTTCGAGCGTTCGCCCTTTAAGTGAGGTGCTAAATAATAATAATAAAAAAAAAAAAATTAGTTTCACCCGGCGAGGAACGTGACCGTTTGAAATTTTTTATTGTTCTCCAAAATCCATTCGCAATAAAGAACGTAACAAATCGGCGACGGGATTTTGGGACGCGGGAGAAATACGAGTGGCAGGGTCGAGTGTAAGCAATTCGTAACTGTTTAACTCGCGCAGTTCGCCGAGACACAAGAAGCGGCCGACAAAAGTTTCGTCGTGAGCAAAGTTAGAAGTGAGATGTACTCGAAGCGACGCTTGAGCACTTATTTTTCTTAATTTCGCGGCATAGTCGCCATTAAAGAGGAGTTTCATTTATTACTGACAGAACCTTGAAAGTATTGTAGAAGCACGGCTTTCAATCGATCCGCAGAACAATCGGAACTCGATGAAAAAAAAAAAGTCTTATTCAATTCTTATTTGTTGAAAACGGAAAGAGAAAAAGAGAGGAAGAAACGGAGAGAAAAGGGGAGAGAAAGAGAAAAATAGAAAATCTGAATCGCTTAAAAATTTTCACAAAACATTTTCTATGAACAAGCTGGAAAGAAAGCTCTTACATCAACTCGGCGCGCATTATAAAATCACCTCCAAAGTCCGATAGAATAGCTTTTTACGTTTTGAAAACAACACAACAGGCTTCGAAATCCGAAAAAGATATCAATTGAATCTCATTGCCGTCGACTTGTAACTATTTGATCGTCTCATTTGATCAAAAATCTTATTAAGAAACCCACGCGGTCACGATTGACGGCAGAATTTTAAGTAGCGAAAAGGTCCGCGGTTACGCGGTCTGTCTGAGTCGAACCGATACGATTTAATCCTCGCGACGAGCGTTTGATTGGCAGTTTACCGGATGCGTGACACCGCCACGTCTGTCTTACGTCAAAAAGTGCAAGTCCACTTCGGCTAACACGATGATTGTTAATTTTTGCCACTTGCAAGAATCTGAGAGGGATAACGAGACAGGTGGAAAAACTACAAGAAAGTTTTCTGTTTACTCAATCAATTTATCGCGACTCGTTTTTGAAATCGAGTGTCAGACTTGAGAGTGCGGGCTTTTTGCTCGTGTGCGGCTCTTCGATCTTTTTAATAAATAAAGCCCTTCATCGCGAGAACGACGGACTTTGGTCCTCTCTCGAGGCCGGTGGAAGACAACTGAGAAAAATTCAATTTGTCACCCCCCGCCGAGTCGTTCCGCAAAATCGAATTTTTTTTTTCCGTACAGGAGAGAAAGAACTGAAAACGAGACGCGCTGAGACACGCGAGCGGAATCGAGATGGCAAAGAAAGTTCCGCCTCTCTTCTTCAAAACATAAAATTAAGCTAACGAAGGTCTAAATGATTTTTCTCGTTTCTTTCTTCTTGTTTGCTTTTCAATTCTGAAAGACGACGACGCATCTTACAATTAGTTAATTCTCGGTGAGAATTCATAGTTAATTTTAACTGTTAATGTTTTTTTTTTTTTTTTTTTTTGAAGCAATGCGCTAATCTTTTATATATGATTTTTACTTTCTCTCTCTCTCTCTCTTTTTTCTCTCATTTTCAAGCGAATCTCGAGACATCCTCTTTCCTCGATATCGATCGCTTAAAGAGACTCAAGATTGACGTCCTCGACGTTGTTCAGAGTATGGAAATTATCCAAGAGGAAACAACTTCATTTCCGCGGTATAATCTCGATCGGGTGAGACATATATACGATCGATTCGATTTCTCGCGTTCGGACGATCAAACGATTTCGAATACTACGAAGGAGACGAATCGGAAACTTTTCAATTTATTCGATATCCGTGTTGGCGATTAAGCGATCGGCGATCGAAAACTCGCGCAAAGAGGTCGCGAGAGAGGTCGTGCGAAAATCCACCAATCGGTGAGAGAAAGTGGAATAATCGCGGCGGTAAATATAAAGGAGAAATGGTCCACGAGACCGGCGGTGTGTTTGTTCTGCTACCGTCCTAAGCTGCAAATAACGAGGACGCCCGCGATCGTTCGAATAGAACGGGAAAGAGAGAGAGAGAGAAGAGATTCTGTTATATATCCTTTGCGATATTTCTGCTTCTAGCTTTCTCTGTACGTCGTTCCTTTCGCGTTTCCTTCTTTATCCTCTTCGCTTTCGGACGCGGCAAACGAGCGCGAATGACCGTTTCGCTTTTTTTTTTTTTATCGCCGTGGCCCGAACGTTAGATGGGAGAGGAGACGGCACGGTGAAAAAAAAGATTCTTCTTCAAAAAGCGAGCGGTCTGCTCCGTGACCCGAACATCTGAAATTGCAATCCGGTGGCTAAACGCGCGTTCGTTTGCCCGAAAGCAACAAGTTATATACACCATAACCGGTAGCGCACAAAGCGAACGGACAATTTCTCCGACTGTCTTTTTTTTTTTTGCTGCGAGGTTAAGTTTCCGAGTTTCACCTGAACCGGTCGATTAATCGGTCGGAGTTCCCAATCGTAAATCCCTTCGTAGATCATAGATCGCACACCACTGTTTGCAAGTGTGTAGAATACAGCCTCGAGAGAGACTGATAACTGAAGACGTTCTCTCCGAAGTGCACTGATCCCCCCAACGTCATTCATCTCTTTGTAACGTATAAATGGAGACGAGAACCCCGAGTTGTATCAATCACGTAGCTCGGACGTGGAGAACCCGGGCTTGACGATTGGCCCGTGCCTTTGTAGATTATAGTCTCATCTACGATATGAACGGGCACGAGATAAAATTGACTTAACCGTTGTCAGGGCCTGAAGCAACGTTGCTACAACCGACCCTCAGTCAATCACGGTTTGCGTTAATCGACATCGGCGAAACCAGCTCGTAGGAAATTTCGCCCCAGGTTCATCAAATAGATATATATATATATGTCGCATCCAATGAATAGACACTCGAACGAATTGTTTTCTTTATTTAATCACAGATATCGAAATGATATATGTGCGTTTTTTATCTCTCTCTCTCTCTCTTTCTCTCAAACATTGCGCGTGCAAATGTTTTTTTTATAAATTATTGCGCGAGGCGTAACAGCTTTTTTAAAAATTAATCGTAACAACTTTCGAAAGCGAACGTGTAGGATTCGACAATGTGGCCACGGATCGCGGAACGTGGGGTTAGGTGAAAGAGCGCAAGAGAGGAAACAAAAGTGGAACTCCGAAGATACTTGGCTCGGTTTTCGTGATATCATAATCACGATCGCGATCGATGACGCGTAATTAATGTTCACTATAAAAAAAACTCGTGACTCACGATGATCTAGAAGAATTCTGTTTGGAGGTAAAGAAGCGCGAAAATCGGAGGATCTACCGACGCACACTTGTTTCCTCGCGTTAAAGTAAAGAGAAAAAGTTAGCGCGCGATCGTAAGTGCGAGGTGCAAATTATCGAACGTGTGTGATGCAAAATTGTCGCGCGAACGTAGATCGCGAGTGTTTTTTTTTTTCGCTCATTCGTTCGTTCAGCGTTACCGATATGGTGGCGACGGAGAAAGGGCGATCCGGTGGTCCGGAGTACCGTGCCAGTACTGGTAGAGTTTGTTATCGAGTAGCGCGACGCCGCGCGCGCGAGAGAGAGAGAGAGGCTGATTGCCAGGGGTGGTGGCAACTCTGCTTGGCTGACAAGTAGATACGGTCGGTATTACGCAGGCGCCAATCCGACCACCCCCGTTCGTCTCTGCATCGCCGATTCACGTTCCACCCTGGGCCCTCCTGTGCTCGCACACGTCGCCCGAGACCTCCTCCGGCCCTCCAGCCCTCTTTCGTAGCCCGTCGTGGCTGGTTTTTCCTATACCTCTTCGTTTCTCCGATACCCTCGGGGCGAGCGCGGCCCTTCGACTTTTCCTCGCTTTTCCATCTTCTTCTGATCGCGTGAACGTCCTCGGGGATTCGATTTGCCACCCTCGCGTGCGCGAGAAATCACTGATCTCCGACGACCAAGCACACGGCTACGTGACGACAACGACGACGACGACAACGAGTACTACACGACTCGATTTTCGAACCGACAAAGTTTCGTTTTTCGCCGCCAATGATGTTTCTCTTCGTGATACGCATCATCGGGTTTTAAATAATAAACGTATAACACTGAGAGACAGAGACAGAGAAGAGAAAGAGAGAGAGAGAGAGAAAGAAAGAGAAGAGACAAATTTTTATGTGAGGACAATTTACGTGATATGGTTGTGAGTGCGCGATTAAGTTTTCACAATTTCATTATTTTGCCCTGTTTTTCTTTCTTGCTTACCGAAGAGAAGTGAAAAAAGATTCGTACGTGACTCTTTTTCTTGAGATTTGAACGAAAACTAAGCTTATATATATATAAACACAGAAATATACACATAAAAAATTCCAATAATAATCTATTTAAATACTAATACGTATACATCACATATTACATATCGCAGATGTTATTTCTAAGGAGATATTAAAATAAACATTCATTATTTTTATACGTATATAAAATAATTTATAATATTACATATATATGTATATATAATATACGTACACATCTCGTGTAGATGTAAAATTAGATTTGTATTATACTTTTTTCAATATAGAAAGATTTAAAACAATCTCACATATACTTGTACACATCAAAAGTGAAGATACTTTGTTACGAACGCAATTGCTCTCTTATTCTAAAATTGTTAATAAATCTCAAGCTGAAGTCTCTTTTCTCTCTCTCTCTCTCTCTCTCTCTCTCTCTCTCTCTCTATTATTTTTACGTTGATTCGGACGTGACACTCGAGTAATTAGTCTTCTATCTGTTCTTCGCAGTGCCGCTTATTCGCCGTAATTTTGTCGTTCTTATCTGTTCGCGAAATGATCAAACTATCAAAAAGAGAATTTCCTCTAATTCGTATCTCGGATGAAAATTTTGCGTGCGAAACGTAGAGCGCGCTAAAGATTTTTTTTGCGTGTGAACGGAAAGACAATGGATAAGAATAAAAGTGTGCGTAACGAAGCGACGACGTTATATAACTTTTCTCACAACTTCTTAAATCTTCTATTTAAGAAAGAACGAACGGGGTCGTTTCATCAGTAGCGCGCGATAACGGGAAACATCCACATCTCGCGCTAAAAAAATGCAGAATCGCGCAATCAGAGATTTACGCGGAACGAATTTACGTTCTGAAAACAAAAAAAAAACAACGTGCGCTACATTGTTACGTATATGCAAATTTTTTATTTGCAAACTTTTCGCGCACTAAAATTATATAATAATGTAAACACTCTGTTTAAAACATCTCCGCAAAACATTTTGTTTTGTTTTAAAATATACGAGAGAAAACGAGTAAACGAATTCGGGTAAAAATATGTTCTAAATGATAGCGACACGTGTGTGTGTGCGTGTGTGTGTGTACTTTTCGTCGAAGTTATATACCTGTTTTAAAACGTGACTCCCAAAAACAACTCTTCTCTCACGTATTCATTGTCCCGAAAACCAACAGACGTTATTTTGCTTCCTCTTATTCGGAATCCAAAAGCTCGCTTTGAGTTCTTAGAATTCTGCGTTTCGCTGCCCTTTTACTATCCCTTCATCATACGTGTTCTCTCGCAGGCGATTCTGCCCTTTAAACGTAGTATAGAAATAGAAGAAGAACGATAGATAGAGAAGCGGTCGGGAGTACACACACTCCCCGTGTGCGCGTTAGCGCGCCAGGGGTTCGCAATCTTTTCTTCCGCTTTATTTTAGCGAGTGTCCCACCTTCCCGTTCTCTTCGACGGAAATTCAATAAAATCAAATATAACAAGAGATTTGTTTTACGTTCTGTTTTTTCTTCTGCAGATCAGATGTTTTCTCATTTTGTCTCAAATTGAAATTGTCTCTCGCAACACCCCTCGGTCGCGTGTAAAACAGCGCGTCGACGCGATTACTTGCTCATGCACTAAATTTACATGAGAAAAGCGTATCGCAACGAGAGAGGAAAACAACATAAACATGAATCGCAAATGTTCCACGTCAAACTTTTATTGCTTTTACGCAACGAATTACTTTTTTTTTCTTTTTTCTTTCAGTCCGTCATATTAAATAACGATCGAATGAAAAATCTACGGCAGCAAAGAGAGGAGGAGAGCTTTGCACGGGAGAACGGGAGGTCGGCACGGAATAATTTACGAACAAAGTCACGGTTTGCGATGAGTCTTCTGAGGAAAAGCCTTTTATCGGGTTACGTCGGTTGCGGGCGCAAATGGGCGTATTTTCAAGCGCGCCGCGTCTCAGTCGCTGCTTCTTCGGTGGCGAACGCGAGACACGTTGAAAAAGTAATTTCATTGAATTCGTCTCGCGTTCGATTCGATACGCCGATACCGCGCGCGGACAGGCGAGACATATATTATCGATATCTGTCCCTACGAAATTCTCTCTCCATTTGAATGCGGGTGGGCACCGGCCCGTGCCGGGCGTCGGTCGACACCCTCGTCGACCGCCGCGAACAACGATCGGTCGATCGGATATCGATAGGACCAAGAACAGACTCAGGGGGTAAGAAAGTAAGAAATGTAACGAGATGGCGGTGGGGGTTCTTACCGTTCGCACTTCTTCTTTTTCCACTTCGTTGAACCGACCGACCGACTGATCAATTCGTTTCTCGACCGCCTTTCTGTACGTCTCTTCCGCTTTTTCCGCCAACGCGTCTCGTCGCGCAAGTCGAGCGAGCGCTACTTACGTTTTTACAAAATTAATCTCAAGCTTGTTACAATATCGTACATTTTTTCCGATAACTGCCGTTTTCTCAGCATCGTCGGTGATGTGAGCCTGTCTGTTTTTCGCACTTTCGATTTACCAGCTGTGCTGTTGGCGACACGTAGCAACGTGCGAGTCAAGATAACGCAAATCCGTTAATTTCCTGAAAGTGAGATTTGGGAAACAGCTGAGATCCGGGAGTAGCGCACACGAGCGAAACAATTGAGCGCAAGAAACAACGCGCAAAAAACGAGGGAGAGACTGTCGGCGCACCTTGTGAGAGATTTCTCGTGTCGGCGCGCGTTACCAACAACCCCCTGGGTATTAAGAATGTTCTATCAATCCGGCGTGTACACCGTTTTCTCCGATAATCTCCGTTTTACGACTTCGCACCGTTTACTGCCGCGCGCGCGAATCGTACGTGTGCATACTATCGGATGCTTTGCGAGATTTAACGTCGAACTGCAGAGTTTACTGAGAATTTGAGTGCGCGCGAGAGAATTTCAATATTGCCTAAATATCTCGAAGTCTCAAAAGCGAGGATTTTGTTTGAATAGAATTTATACGAAGCAAATGGAAAAGAGATTAACGTTGTTTGTGCGCTTCTTGATATATATCGCACTAATATGATTGACACATTCAGTTGAACAAAATTAGTTTGTACACAATGTACATAATATTTGAATAACGCTCAGCTCCATTTAAATTCCAAATCGGATATTGTAGCAATTCGATCGAGAGAAATTGAATAGAGAGAATATCGAATTTTCTAGAAATAGAACTAAATTGAATGCGGTTTTAGTTGGTTTTTAATTTTTTTTCTTGTTTTTTTTTCCTCAACGCGCTCTATCGCACATCCGACTGGCGGGTTAATCAGGAGCTGTAAAGCATTGCAATTACGTGGCTCCTAATAAAAGATTTTTCTGTCACACACGCAAGGTTGCAATCAGATGTTACCGCGTTGCAGGCGGCACGAACCCCAAGTCGCTTGATATGATTAAAATTCATTAGTTTCGTGATTCGGAAAAATCGCTTCATTCGAGGATTGCCAGATGAAAAATTATGTTGATGGTTGCAAATGTATGTGCGGACCTTTGGCTCGATACAAATTACAGATTGTTGCATGAATATTCAACGTATAGGAAGCGCATTCACATGCAACAGACCGTGCATCTGATCGCACTCCACCCGGTGTAATGTTTCTAAAAATAGTCCGACATTGTAAAGACTCGATATTCCGTTCATTGTCGCAAGAATAAATCGATCTGCCATCGTTTATTCGACCTAAAGCAGCTTTTGCGAGTTTTTTTCTCGTCATTTATATTTATTAGACAACAAATAAATTCTTTTTACAATACGCGGAACAAAAAAAAAGATCAAATACAATTTACACAGAGGATATCGTCATTTTCATTGAAAATTCACTTCGATTATGTCATTACGCAAATGTGTGTTATAACTCGTGCAAATTAACATAATACAAAAATAATCCTCTCTTGATTATTTATTACTACATACACACGCGCGCGCGCGCGCGCGTACACACGAAACGTAAGGAAGACTATCACACGCGTAATTGAGAAAACACTTCATGTGAGTGATGTTGCGACAAATATTATGCTTTGACGCAAGTACGAGCAACTTGTTGACTTTGAGTTGTTGTGATTTGGAAGAGGAATCTCGGAATTGCGAAACTTCCTTCATCGTAATGTGCGTTTGCGACTGATATAGAGCGTTTCAATAGAACGTAACTTCTGTAAAAGAAGTTTCCGACGATCCTTAAGTTGGGATCATGTGTTGCCAGAAGTGTCAG